AAATATTTTCAATTCTCAAATATAATAACATATATATTTTTTTTTTTTCGTTAATTTATACAATATATCGATTTCAAATATTCGTATAAATTAATTTTAATGATATAGCTTTTGTTCTAAAATTTTATTGGTATTGGACTTGACTTTATCATCATCTAGGATAGATCGCTTTATTGACTGTCAATTAATCAGTTGACTGATTGAAAGTTTGATTGATCAGGTTAGTTGGTTACAGCATCGTTATATCATTCGATTTGCTTCTAATCTACATTTGAAGATCTCTCTTGATTATTAATGAGTCAAATCGATTATTCTTTCCTTCAATTTTGACGAATACTATCTGACTTAAAATTCAATTGATGTAAAAGGGACGATAAAAATCGTGTTACAAAAATGGTATATTTTCGCGTGAAATATGATCGAAATTTATTCATGAGAAATTTGAAAATTCATCAGGCGGCAATTCTTGATTTTATTAATTTGAAATTATTCGTTTTTATTAACTTCGATTTTATCGTTTAATAAGTTTAATTTTGAATAATTGAGAATATTTTGTTATCGAGTTATTTAAAGAGAAAGAATAATTGGAAGTGCAAGCTGATTAAATTTAAAAAAAAAAAATGTGAAAATTCCATAAACTTTCAAACAGAAGTTGGAACTTTTAAAAAACGAATAAATCCGACGATTAACTTTAATCAAAATTTTAATCAATTACGAAACTTATATATATATATCTATATAACTATATGTCAAAAGACATTTTTAAAACAATACGAGTACAATTAGATCCATTCCAATTCGATCGAACTCTTTCTCAATTTTCTTTTCTGAAAGAAAAAAATCAAATTTCGAAATTTTGACCTACTTTCGTGCGATTCCATTTTGTATCACAAACTTTACGTTTGTCTTCCATGCGATTACCCAGTAGTAGCCATTTATAGACTACTTTTCGCTCCCCGTAGAATATTGATTTAGAAAAGGACGTTCTCTCCTTAGGCTACCCTCGGTTAGGTCGTGATCACACGAGCGTTAAAAAAAAAAATGGACATTATGACGTAAGTTACGATTTCGTAGCAATGACGTTAGATAATTCAATAGCCTCGTCTCAGTGTTTTATTTATAATGCATTATTAGAAAAACTTCCTTCATTCCACCTTTACTCGTCGACAAGTTCACAAATATTCATTGGCCAATTTGCCAAAAGTATTCATTATGCTGACTGTTATCGGAACGTGTTATCGGAAGCATGATATAAGAAACGTGTTTACTTCGATTATATACAAATGAAACTTCTCATCGGGAAATTTCACGTGATTCCATTTGTTTATATTCGAAGTTAAAATTACTTCGAAACATAAATTCAAAATATACGTGACTGTTCGTAAATATTACGCGTATATTTTCAAGAAATCGATCAGTATTTAAATTCCTTATTTTTAAATCATTAATCGTTTTTCGATTATTTTCGATCAAAGATTGGCTTTGATGCGATGATGATGAGAAAATAATCGATTAAATTAAGCCTTTCTGTTGTCTCAAATTGGTTCAAAGATCTCGTTTACGAAAATCAGTGTCGCGTAAATGGTAGAGCATTATTATTACTTCGAAATCGGAACGACGTCCGTATCGTTCGTAATCGTACTTTCCATCCGGTCTGGATGGAACGGATCATGAGAAAATTATAACGATCCATATACGAGACACCAATATCACGTGGAACTGCATAAAATTCTCATCGATAGACGTTCGACTATCGATCGTGACGATGATCGATCACGCATAATTTCTCAGAACGTACCTATATGATTATATTATTCGTAAAAATTTATATTCATATGTACATCATCGGATAACACAGTTCACTTTACGATATCTCCAAACGTGACACAATACACAAATCACAAATTATGTACAACATAATTTTTATACATTTTAAATTACTTTTTTAATTGCTTTTAAAATAAGTCATCAAGATATCTCCAAAATAACAAAAAAAAAAAACAATATTCAACTCTTAGATATTTCAAAATGCAAAAGGCACAGCAGGACACTCGAATTATTTCTCGAGTTATATAAAGAGAGGAAGCTTTATACCTATTTATTACATTACATTTATACATACACGATATTTCGAACATATTAGATCGCGAACGGTACACATACAAACACACACACACGCACAAGCACTCGCACAGATTCTGTCGACATCCATGGAAGTGGATTTGAGCGTGGCCACGACTCGAAGATTTAACGGTACGAGATCGTCGAGGACGGGCAAGCATCGGCGATCGTCCCCGCTGCAATAAAGCGGTGTGCGAATTCAACGAGTTAGTAGCATGGGCATGTGTGTCTGTCTGTCTGTCCGAATCGCAGCACGTTAACGTCGATACCTGTGATATGATATATAAATATATGTGTGTGTTTCCCGTACGTGTGTATCACCGTGTGTATGTGTACGTATATTTATATACGTATTTTAATTAATAAATATGTATTTTTTAAAATTAGTATAATATATATACGTATATGTACACATACACTTCTCCTGTTTTTTAATCTTAAGAGTATGATCCGCTTCGAAGTGTTGATTCGAATTTTTTCCAAGATATAACGATTTACAAACAGGATATTGGATATTTAATAGTGGAACTTCGGAGTGGATCGTCGATATTTGTTCAATGTACATCCCTACACGATTCACGCCGAGCTTTTGCACGCTGCCAAGAAATCGTGACCTCCGAGTTCGATGGTTGTTACATTGTTAGATGTGCATGAGCCTATCGGTATGAAAATCGTTTGAAAATATGAAATCGATGATTATTAATCACGTAATTATATTTGTCCCTTGTACAATAACTTTTTTTATAATTAATAATATTAGTGAATCGAGGATTAAGAGGTTGGAATTTATTCAACAAAGTCTGCCATCATTGCAAGACTTACAAAATTTCACTAATAATATTAATCTAATTGTTTCAACAAGACATTAAAATAATAATATTTCCCCTCCTTTTTTTTATTTTCGATCTTAAATGATTTTCTTGTATATTTTTCGAAATTTCCCCCTTTTGTCCCCTTTCTATTACAAGATGATAAATTTAATATGAAGAATTTAATATTGGGAAAAGTTCTACTCGTGGTAAAATCTATGTTTAAGCAGTAAATCCTATAAATTGTATAAATTATATTCACGAAAAGATCATTATGTTATCCATTCGTTTAACGTTTAATTAACTTTCATGCAACGAAGAGTCAAAGAGGTAAATGTTACAACTCGAGAGAGGCAAATGTCAATTCGGTTACCTGTTACATCTAAGGAGACGGAAGAAAAAAGAAAAAAATATAAAGAACAAATGAGATTAAATTCTCCCGCGAGGAATATTTACAAAAATCTCGCGTAGTCATGCGAAAGTAGACATTTTGTAAACTCGTACCAGGCAAATTTCCGGGACGCAGGATGAATTCTTGAAAAGCTTTTCAAATATTCCTCTCGGTTCAACATTTTTTAAACATTTTTTTTTTGTTTTTTAAATCGCGATTTCACGGAAGTATATTTATCCTCTTGTTAAATTACACGCGAGGAGCGAATGAATGTAAATGTTTATTAATCGGCGCATCTCGCGGGACCAAATGTGAATTAAATACGATTTTAAAGAGGAATATATTCAGCCAATTTTCCATTTCTGTTTTTTAATAAATTTTTAAACGATTTTATTTATCATAAATTAATATTAATAACAATGTATATAAATCAATGTAAGAATCTTTATCATCGAGTGAATCTCTTGAAAGATATCACGATTGGAAAAATTAAAATTTAATGAAAGTTGTGTTTAAAATTCCAATTTTACATAATTTCATGAGCTGACTATGTCTTCGTGTTTCGTGTCTTGAAAATAATTTCATCATTGAGTGCAACGTTTCTTCCATTCAAGATATAATAGAAATGATTCTCTGATTGCCTCCAACGTGATGTATTCACGCAAAGTTCACAAATAAAATTCTAGATAGCCTTGCCAACTAAAAGTTTTATTGCATCTAGAAAAGATATGTATAGGCTATCTTTTTTGAAACTGGTATCCAACCTAACCCCCTGTTCACGATTAATCGTGAAGGCTTTAAAGGCGAATTGAACCGATATAACAGATCGTAATAGCGCGATCCTTTCTGAGAACATAATCCTCTTTCTTATCTTCTCTTGATTTTATTGCTCTTTCAATGGTTCCTCGGTGATCCGCCATTTTTCCAACGTTAATACTCTTGAAATTTGAATGGTTAGATCGTGCGAATTTTGTAACTTAGGAAAGGTAGCGAGAAGTAAAAATAAAAGTTGTACGATGGAACTTGGTTTATTTGTTATTTTATTAACGTACGATTGATTCCATTTTCACAAAAATTCCAATTATTTTCCGTTTGAACGAAAATCATATTTTTAGAAAGTATTATTTGTAAGGAAAAATTAAATCGGTGGATTTATATCTGATTCCACGAATTCCCATATTGAACCGCATATAAATGAAGTTCTATTGTAATTCAATGAATGATAATAATTTAGGAGGAAAAATATGTTAAGGAGAAAAGTTGAAAGAAAATTTTCTATTATAACATATAAATAAACATCATACAAAATCTTCTTTTTAACATCGTATAATTCATTGCCAATACTATAAGATATTAGTGATATCAAGTGATCAAAGATCAATTATATGAAATATATTAATTTAGAAAAATCAAGATACATTTCTTTCGTTTCTTTAGACAAGTAACAGGTAACAACACTTGTTAAAAAAAAAATAAATAAATTATCTAAAAGATTATTAAAAAAAAAAATAAATAATTATCTAATGAAGAACGGATGAATATTTCTGTCAGGTAAGTAAAAAAAAAAAATAAAAAAAAAACTTGGGGATCAAATTAGGCGAAATAATTGGAGCACGTATCGGGATAGGCAAGCGGTGTGAAACAATCGTCTAATCATCGATTTTGCATAACTTTCACAGTGATCTGCGCTCAAGGATTGATCGCGAAAGACAAGAGCGGCACATCTGATCCGTACGTGACAGTCCAAGTCGGCAAAGTGAAGAAGCGAACTAGGACCATGCCGAGGGAATTGAATCCTGTTTGGCACGAGAAATTCTACTTGTGAGTAATTTCATTACGCGAGTTTCACCTGATACCGTAAAAAAAAGAACGAAAGAGAAAATATAATTATAAATTATTGAAATTATTGTAATAAAAATGATATAAAAAAAAAACAGATATACGATTCTATTTTAAAGAATAGATCGATACCAAAATCCGTATTATTTAAAAAAAAAATTGTCTCCTCCAAACCATTTTATTCCTAATTCAAAATACGATCAATAAACGGATATATATATTAATATAATATTCTTTTAAATAGATAATAAATAATTCCCAAAAGAGAGAAAATAATTCATATTCCGAAGCTATTTATATAACATCTAAACGGAAGGGGGAGATCGGGCGGAATTCGAACACCTGAACAATTTCCTGAAATGAAAATCGGATGAGCGAACAATTCGAATCGGCAAATCCAATCTCTGTGAAACCCTGTTAACCTCTCGTTTTCCCGGTTTACAGCGAATGCCATAACTCGTCCGACCGGATAAAAGTGAGAGTGTGGGACGAGGACAACGATTTGAAGTCGAAGCTACGGCAGAAACTGACGAGGGAGAGCGACGATTTCCTCGGTCAAACAATCATCGAGGTGAGGACACTGAGCGGGGAGATGGATGTGTGGTATAACCTTGAGAAAAGGACGGACAAGAGCGCGGTTTCCGGCGCGATCAGGCTGCACATCAGCGTGGAGATCAAAGGCGAGGAGAAGGTCGCTCCATACCACGTGCAATACACATGCCTGCACGAGAATCTGTTTCACAGTTTGTGCGAGAAGAACGATGGGGTGGTCGCGTTGCCCCAGGCGAAGGGTGATGACGCCTGGAAGGTGTACTTCGATCCACCAGGAGAAGAGCTCGTGGACGAGTTCGCGATGAGATACGGCATCGAGAGCATTTACCAAGCAATGACGTGAGTCGTGCTTATTTGACAGTTCAAATTCTTTGGGAATTTTGTATCAACGAGGATGTGTGGTCCCTCTAGCTGTCACTTTGATCAAGATCCCCGGTTATTCCTCTTCCCTTTGAGCGGTGTTTCTTAATGAACGTTTAATATATTATTTTTGTCCATGTGACCTTTTTCGATGATCTTTTTTTGGAGCTCTCTTCGCTGCAACTTTCCATTTATTCTTTATTAACGTAATGGTAGAAAGAGAATTATTTTTTATTATTTAATGAAGAGAATGTATCTACGTGATTTTTAAATTTTGAGACGAGTAATGTATTATGTGTAAAAGCTTCAAAAATATATAAAAATTTAAATTAGGTCACTAGCCTCCCCTTGGGACATCACAAGTTTTAAAATATCGCTGAAATATCGATATTGGATAATTTTATTAAGTACTTGCTGTGTTTTGTCTCTTTACTTTTTTTTTTTAAGAGTCCATACAAATTAGAATATCATGAAATAATTATAATTTAAATAGCACATAAAAAATCTATCAATATTCTATCAATATTCATAGATTCATCTCGTATTTTTCAATCGTTTTTCACAGACATTTTCACTGCCTCTCCACGAAGTACCTGTGCCCAGGTGTGCCAGCGGTGATGTCCACCCTGTTGGCGAACATAAACGCGTACTATGCCCATACAAGCGCGAGTTCCGCCGTTTCGGCCAGTGATAGATTCGCCGCCAGCAATTTTGGGGTGAGTTTTCGAAAAAAAAAGAAAAGATTGGTTCTCATTTCTAGACTGCGGATGTTATGTTACGTTTATATTTTCATCATAATAGTAGAAATGGATCCTGTAAATATCATAATTAGATTATTTTAATATTTTTAAATATTTTATATATTTTTGTATATATGTTTTTTGGACTTTCGTAAACAAATAAGTATCTCACAAACGCATATCATTGCTATTATAAGTTTGATATAAAAGAGGATGAAAATACCGTGATTGAAAAATATCTCTTTCTATACTGTTACCCAGATAGATGGATACACTCTTGACTCCATCAATTTCGTGGTATCCTTCGTGGAAATCCTTCAATTAAATTACTCCTTATCCTCTTCTTCCCCATCTTTTCTATTTCGCAGTTTACCATAGCTGAAAATTGATAATACGGTCTAATTAAAATTTTAATTAAGATTTTTTTCTTATTTTTATGTTATGTTACATAGGAATCTTGTTGAATTTTCAAAATATACAATGGAAATTGTTAATCAAATAATGATTTATTATTATAATCCTATGAAGCAAAGTATTCTCATTTAATATCATAGAATTGTAAGTAATTTTATAAATAATCCTTACATGTTTGAGTATAAATATGTAGTATAAATTAATTTAAAATGATAAAAGAAAGAATAGAATGATAAAAGAATAAACTGAATGAAAAAATCAGATAAATTGTTAAACAGAATTATGATATATGAATATAAAAAGATGATATCGTTGTAAATAAACTGTATTTTTGTTTTTGACAAATGCTGGTGTTGATATATGATTTAAAGAGAGAAAATTTTTCGAGGAAACTAAAATTTTCGACTATGCAAATCCCGGAATTACAGATTCCATCGTTCGTGACAGAGACTCATTCCAGTAAAACAATGTAAATTTTTTCAAAAAAGTTGCCAGGAAAGAAAAAACGATCGTTCCTGTTTTCGAGTTGAATTATGTATGATTTTATCTTTCCAAGTAGACATACGATCCAATAACTTTATCTTGCGAAAACCTTAACAAAAAGATAGCTGATGCTAACAAAAAAAGGTTGAAGAAAACATATTATGAAACAAACAAACTTGTGAAGTTATAATGATCAATAAAAAGATAGATAAAACATTATATAATGAAAAAAGTAATTAATATATTATTTTTCTTTCATTTACAATAAATGCAGTAAGTGAATGCAGTAAATGAAATATATTCGATCATCGATAGATTTATTGAAGTTACTATTTAATTTTCATTCGACGAAATTGTTTACCAAATTATTTATAATCTGAAGATCACGCGTTTCTCTTTTTCTTTTTGATCGTTCGTTTTTTTTCTTGAATATTTTATTCTACGATTCTATGAGCACGTTGGGATAGAATAAATTCCTACAAATCGTAAACAATATTATCGAATTATTGAATTATAATTGAATTATCCTATATCCAAAAATAAATCACAATAAAGATTTTGGAAAAAATTCAATATTCGAAAAAATAAAAACTTAAGAAAATGAATTCGAAATTTTGTAAACAATAAAATTTGTATTTACTTTTTAATATACTATATAATCTATCAGACCAGGAAATGTCAAAAAATCAATTTTTTATTTCCAAATATTAACAAATAAACAAAAAGGAATTAATACTAGTTTACAAACATCAATATAAGAGTTATCTATTAATATAACTATAATTCTTATTTCATGAAAACGTTTGTTATCACTTAAAAAAAGAATTACCTCGCGATCAAAATGATCGAATAAAAAAGAGATATCATAACTTGGAGCGAAGAATCTCATTAATCCTTCAACTTCGTTTCAACTATATCATACTTTATCAACTTGCAAGCTATCGTAGCGAGCCCAATCTATCATACGGATCCATACTTCGTCCTATTCCCCTCCCCAACTCTCTCCTGCTCCAAAGGGATCAAATCTCGCACATACGTTCTCTCGCGAGATAAGCGTAAGATAACTTTTGGGATTGGATAAATGATCTCGGCCAAACCGAAAACCTTGGACCCTTCTTCCGACCGACGGATATTCGTTATTTATGGAAACTCGATACAACGGATACAAAATACATTTTCCATCCTTTCCTCACGGCCCATTTCTTCGCATTCCAGAAAGAGAAGTTCGTGAAATTACTGGATCAGCTGCACAACTCCCTGCGAATCGATCTCTCGATGTATCGAAATAACTTCCCCGCCTCGAGCCAGGAGAAGCTGATGGACCTGAAGAGCACGGTCGATCTTCTCACGAGTATCACATTCTTCCGTATGAAAGTTTTGGAATTGTCCAGCCCGCCGAGGGCGAGCACCGTGGTTAAGGATTGCGTGAAGGCGTGTCTTCGATCGACCTACCAGTTCCTGTTCGAGAATTGCTACGACATCTACAACAGGGAATTCCAAGTGGATCCGAACGAGGCGAAGAGGGACGCCGAGGATCACGGCCCTCGTTTGGAATCGTTGGATTTCTGGCATAAATTGATCGCGTTGATCGTTTCGGTGATCGAGGAGGATAAAAACAGCTACGCACCCGTCCTCAACCAATTCCCCCAGGAATTGAACATCGGTCAATTGTCGGCGGCCACTATGTGGTCCTTGTTCGCGGTGGACATGAAATACGCGTTGGAGGAGCACGAGCAGCACAGATTGTGCAAATCTTCGGCCTACATGAACCTCCATTTCAAGGTCAAATGGTTGCATACGAATTACGTGAAGGATGTGCCGCCGTACAAAGGCGCTGTGCCTGAGTACCCTGCGTGGTTCGAGCCGTTTGTAATGCAATGGTTAAACGAGAACGATGACGTCTCACTGGAATATCTCCATGGTGCCTTCAACAGAGACAAGAAGGACGGAGTAAGCGTTTCTTTTCTTTTTCTTTTTTTTCATTCTAAGCGTTTCGATTATCTTCATTTTGTTTAATTATAGATAGAATATTTGTTATATTATACACCTGTATTTAATATTGTATGTAAAATTGTTCATAGTTCCAAAAGAGCAGCGAACACGCGCTGTTCAGTGTCTCCGTCGTCGACGTCTTCACACAATTAACCCAGTGTTTCGACGTGGTCTCCAAACTGGAGTGTCCAGATCCGGAAATCTGGAAGAGGTATATGAAGAGATTTGCAAAGACCATTGTGAAAGTATTGGTTGCATACGCGGATATCGTGAAGAAGGAATTCCCAAGTCATCTGAAGGAAGAAAGAATCGTGTGTACTTTCGATAACTAAATTTGGTTTAATTAAACATTTGTAACAAATTGTACTTTTATTTTTTTCTTGCAGGCTTGCATTCTCATGAACAACATTCAGCAATTGAGAGTACAATTAGAAAAGATGTTCGAATCGATGGGTGGAGAGAAATTAGAAGAGGATGCGGCGAACATTTTGAAAGAGCTTCAACAACAATTGAATGGAGCACTCGACGATCTTGCTATGCTTTTCGCAAAGAGTTTGGAACCAAGAATAACAGCTTCCGTGAAAGAATTAGGAGATCTGTTGTTAGCTATTAAAGGTAGTGGACAAGTGCAACCTGCTCAAAGAAACAACGTCGCTGTCGAAGCTGACGAAGTATTGCGTCCTCTTATGGATCTTCTCGATGGAAGTCTGTCGTTGTATGCTGAATCTTGTGAAAAGACTGTGCTCAAGAGGTTGCTGAAAGAATTATGGAAGATCGTCATGAGGATTCTGGAGAAAACGGTGGTGCTACCACCTATGTCAGACAAGAGTGTATGATTCTATTTTTTGAAATTTTTATTCTAAAAATTTTAATCGAGTTAATAAAATTAAATATATTGCTACTGTTCATTTTATAGATGATGTTCAAGAATCTAACAGATAATGCGAAGAATTTAGCCGCGAATGCTAAGATAGAAGACATGTCGAAATTGTTTAAGAATCACATGGCCGGCAAACCGGATGTGAAGAACGCACTGAGCGGTGTAATGGTGTGTCATTGTGTATAATTTAATAACTAATATATTTTAAAAGATATATAAATTATTATATCGAGGAAAATTTGATATATTTTATATCATTGAAAATTTTCATTATAAATATATTATTTTTACATACAGGATATTTCGAAGGAAGTAGAAAAGAATCTTTCGCCGAAACAATGTGCAGTCCTCGAGGTTGCCCTCGATACCATTAAACTGTATTTCCACGCAGGTGGCAATGGTTTGAAGAAAACATTCTTAGAGAAATCACCGGAATTGCAAAGCTTGCGATATGCCTTGAGTCTGTATACGCAAACAACAGACACACTCATCAAGACTTTTGTCACATCTCAGGTCAATCAAGGTAAGTTCACCTTTAAACGGTAACATCATTAAATCATCTAAACATTTTCATCAGCTATAAGGTAAAATCATATAATTATGTTGAAAATCAAAATTATATACGCAATTATAATTTTATTTATCTTTTGTTTATAAGTATCAACGATAGTATATCAAAACTAAACACAAAATTTTATTCATTTTAATTAATGAAGGGGAAAATATCAAAGTAAAATAATATCAAAGAAATCATTATATTTTTTCCACTTGAAATAATCAAAAAAAAATATTTCACATAAAAAAGAACTAACACAATTTTCCAGCACAATATCTATCATCACACATAACAATTAGCAAAATTTCAATCAAGTTGCGAATCTAAATTGACCGAATAAATTAAATTTTATGAAAACAAACAAGTGACTCTCCAAAAAATTGATTTCCACTTTATTGCGTTAACGTTGTTTATGAATATCTATCTATATCGTGAGTTTCCAAAATTAAATTTATCCATTCATCAATAATCTAACAAAAACTTGGCCCAATCAAATTTCCATTAACCACTGAATTTAAGATCAAATTGAATAAAAGCAAAAGAAAATAAATCTACAACACACGCTTCTTTTACATTTATGATAATCCGTGCACACACACGTACACCGCGACATTTTTGGAAAAATCGTCGTCGACGTACGAAATACAACCGACGTAACCGAAATTATCGCGACAGTGCCACTGAACAATGCGTCAAAGCTACGTCAGCGTCAGCGTTCGATGAGCAGCGAAAGAGGTGGCGACGAAGGGGAAGGAGCCGAGGGTATGGAAAGCCTCGAGGAACCCCTTCGCCAGAGCAAGCCCTCTCTTCGTCGAGAGAGTCGACAAGGTATCGGAGAGCACTAGCCACCTTAGAGCAGAAGGGAATTCTTCGCTGACTTCCGGCCACTTTCGAACCTAGGCGCTCATTTTAGGACGTAGTGGACTGTTTGTGATTGCATTGTGCACCGAGCTGTCTTCTCGGGATTAATTAGGAATTTTCTCAATCAAATTTAGAATTCAGATTGTAAGCACAACTCTTTCGGTACTATGTACTATGTATAAAATTGAGTTATGAACTATAAAGGCATAAATAATACAAATCAGTAATACAGATTCTTGATGCATAGCAAACGTTTATCATTAAATGAAATTGAAATAAAAAACGTGTCCTGAAGACTTCTCGGTGATCGATAGTTGTATTAGGTAGTGCTGCTGCTGCTGTCACTACTACTGCTGTTGCTGCTACTACCGAAAACCTACAAAATAATGGACAGTAGAAAATGGCCACCTTCGGATCTAAAAGCCATAGTTTCTCTTAGTGAATGCCATCCTTCATCAAGTTGAGATCATAGGTCATTAAGAGGGTTATTAATTGCTAGTGAAATTTCGAACTTCCATAATCTAATAATTCATAAGTTCATGAAGATATAAATCCTATAATCTTGGAAAGCCCACTTGAAACTTCATAACTTTGGACTCAGAATTCGAGATTTCGAATGATCAATGTTTCACTTATCTTCTATGGCCGCGAACAATATGATATTTGCATGATCTATCATTGTTTTTATAAGGCTGTATTCATCTCGATGTTGTTGATTCACTTGATAATGACTACCAACCTATTCTGGTACACTTATACTTTCTACAATTTACTTTGTACAATTATGTGTACACATGATACATTTACATACCATATTTAAAAATTTATTTTTTATTTAATTTTTATCTTTTTTATAATTTTCTTAATAAATGACAAATTACACTTTAGAATTATACTTTATGTATACTTACACAATAATAATATAAATTTGTGAATATATACTCTATATATCACACATACTCCAGAGGTTGCCATTTTCTAACATTGTTTTTTACACTAAGCATTATTTTAATAATTTTTTTTTTTTTTAAGCTTTGACAAATGTACACCTAAACACCTATAGATTTTCTTTATCACAGTCAATTCACCATATCATCTTCCAATTAAATTGTTTTTTTTTAAGAAATATATAACAGATAAACCAACAATTCTATTTTTTTTTTTTTTTAGATATCCATACGATTGTTAAATTAATTATCATTAATCGTAATTATCAAAATGCATAATCCAGTAAAAACAATGAGATATAAGATTTTTAAAAATTAAATTTTGTAATTTTTACAATTAAATTGTTGCAAACTAATCCTTGCTCATAAAATAATAATGAAGCCGATTAGTAAATTAGTAAATTTATTATTGTATAAAGATATTATAAATTTTATATGATATGAGATTATTCATGTGTTTTTAACAACACAGCAACTTCGTCTTCTTTGATGAATTGATTTTTTGATGAAAGATATAAAATTCCATGCATATGATTAGAGCATGTAATCTGCTCTAGAATTAGATATTATTCATATATTATATAGTATTTTAGTATTCGATTTCAAAATTTTAGTCTCGAATAAAGCCTCAGCAAGGCTCTTTTTTTCTCTCTCGTAGTGACAAAAATTTTTGAATTTATATATGAAATCTAACTTGTTCTTAATAAAGTTCCAGATACTGCTGGCACGGAGGAAGGCTCAGTTGGAGAAGTCAGTATTCAAGTAGATCTCTTCACGCATCCTGGAACTGGCGAACAAAAAGTTACTGTCAAAGGTATATTTCATCCAAATTTTTATAAAATATCTGCAATCACAATAATCTATCTTATATTCAAAATTTCAAACATTTTATATAATATTATCTAATAAATTATACTTTTTAGTTGTCGCTGCAAACGATTTGAAGTGGCAACTAGCTACAGGAATGTTCAGGCCATATGTTGAAGTAAACTTGATCGGACCTCATCTAACTGGAAAGAAGAGGAAACAATCAACAAAATCCAAGACCAATAATTGGTCACCACAATTCAATGAAAGCTTCGACTTGTGAGTATTCAAATATAAATGCCTAAATGTAATAAGTTACACTTTGGTATTCACCATCAACTCTTTCTGTTTGTTTGATTTATTTTCTCTGCATAATAAATTGACGTAATTATTTCAATATATCCAGCATGATCGGCAATGAGCAGCAGCAATTGGACTTCTACGAATTGCACATCTGTTGCAAAGACTATTGCTTTGCCAGAGAAGACAGATTAGTCGGTGTAGCAGTGATGCAGCTTAAGGATATAGTCGAAGAAGGTTCTTGCGCCTGTTGGTTGTCGCTTGGCAAACGAATCCAGATGGACGAGACCGGTTGGACAATCCTGAGAATTCTTTCACAGAGGAACAACGATGAAATTGCAAAGGAATTCGTAAAACTGAAGAGTGACATCAGGCAGGAAACACCTTTACCGAATCCTACCTGAGACTCGAAGTCACAGCATTAAAGCCACGACAGCGAAGCGATGCGTCCTTCGAGTTTGGAAAGAGCTCGGAGGAGAGAAGGAAAGAAGGGGCATTGTCCACAGGGGAAACTATAGAACGTTCGGCCGTCGTTGTCGAGAATGAAGTCTTTAAAAAACAAACCAAGAAAATAAAAAGTAAAAAAATAAGTGCGAGCAATACCGCAACATATGCGAAAATGTATGAAACACAAATAAAAAAAAAAAAAAAAAAAAGAAACAAAAAACACGAACAAGAAAAAAAGATCACCGATAAGGACAATCGGCCGAATCCTTTTCGGTTCTTATGATAACATCGTCGGTCAGTGAGGGAACGAGAAAGCATGTCGCGTGACATATTTTCTTCTTGCTTCCTTCGCAGCCAGCTTCCGGTCGAGCGTGTTCTTCTGTCTTTTTTTACGAATCACAGAGCTTTAGCCCCGTCCCCTATATAAACCAAATAAACAAAAAGAAAAAAAAAGAACAAAACCAAAACAAAGAAAACAAGAAGGAAGGGTTTCGAGTGAATATATTTAAAATGAGCCCCGAATCGAAACGTTCGTCCAATGGAAGTCAAACAAGGGAGAAAAGAAAAAATGGAAGGGTGATTCCTCCCACCCTTTCGAAACAAACGATAGAAAAATAGAATAACGTCCAAGACGGCGAACTTTTTGTTCAAACAAGTGCCGTAAAGATGGAGGATACGAAACCTCAGGTATTGGAGAGTGTTCTGAATAGACGCGATATGTGAAAACAGTGCTGCCAGTATGCAATATATTTGGTAAATATTCGTAACATAAGGAAAGGAGAACGAAGTTGAAATAAAATGAAAATCGTAAAATGTATCCAGCGCGATTAGACCTCGACCTGTATGGATTCACAAAAGAAGAGAAAGCAGCTTAATTGTGAATAGTAAAGAAGAAGAAAATAAAAGAACGATCGAATCGGGGTCCGTGAACATAAGCATGTTGCAAATATAAAACGCGAATCAAACGTGTTTTCAAAATTGAAAAGCGAATCGTGCTGCAACGAGGAGATGTAATACTAAGTATAAATATATAGACCCTTGTGAGAGACGACGTTTTAGGCCGTTTGTTTGGGAAGATGAGTTTTCTTGTAGATATGTGAAACACATTGTTGACGAAAAAAGTTTTTTCTAAATAACAGTTTAACGTAGCATTGCGTACGACCAATAGGCACATCACGACGTTACTCGAGATGTGCCGTTAGTAATAAATAGGCATTGTAATGTAAAGTACGTTCTTATTGTAAGAATTAACAAGAGATCGTATGAGTCTGATTATTGTTGGTGAACAAATACGAGGTCCGCTCGAAGCATTCTCCGTGAATCACCTTTGGTCTCGCTTCGAAGATCTTCGAAATGATATATAGATGTTTATTTATACAAGAAATTGATATTCCGTTCCATTGAAGAAGGTAAATAAAAAAAAAAAGAAAAAGAAAAAAAAAAGAAAAAATAATAAGAAAAGAAAGAAATAGAACTTTCGTCCGCCTTAGATTTTCTTTTAGTGTATAATATTGTGAAACAGAGAATCCGGTCTTTGATCTGTTATAACTAGAAAATACTATTTCTATGAATCGACAGCCTAACTTTTTCGAAATTAAACTTTATATCGTGGTAGTTGTATGGTAACTTAAATAATCATCTAACTTCGACTCTTTTTCCTCTTGACGATCATTGCTTTTTGTGTGAGCGAATAAAATATGTAAACAACAAGATGGAACGCAAGCTTTGAAGAAAAAAAAGTGGACATTAATACTTCTCTCTCTATTCGCTTAAAATATCTCATCGATATTACTCTTGTAAATAGATCAAATATTGTCCATTCATAGAAATGGTTCGTTACGAAGATTGAAATCCGCAATTCTCTGATATAAGACTTCCCCCACTATATATAAAAAAAAAAAAAAAAGAAAAGAAAAATCGAGAAAATTAAGGGCGGACGCATTAAACAATCCCTCAATCTGCTACAAAAACGAAAACGGAAGACACTCTAACGTTCTTCATTTCGCATTTAACGTCGTTCGAAAATTTTGAAGACACTTGTTTAAGAATACATATTGCAATTCTTGCACGAAGCTTCGATCGGATCTCCCGAGAAATTTGCAAATGAAGTAAAAAAAAAAAATAAACAAAAGGGAAAAACAATGAAAAAAAGCAGAAAAAATAAACGAAAGATGGAAACTAATAATAACACAAAAAAAAAAGATGCACGCGACTTTGAAACTAAATAAATTTCATTCTCCGGCCTTCGCAGGTCAATCAGATATACAATTCCAGAGATTACAATGATTATATCCACAAAAAAAGTTTCTACTACGTAGTACGTCTAGATATACTTACGTATTGTGTATAGTATCTAAATGCTGATGTAGTTGCGAGCGCGGGATACTCGTCTGGAGAGAGAGCCATCCAAAAAATGAGGAACATTCGGCTATATTTACAATTACGTATTTACATCAGGCGCTTACCATATCCGGATGATGCATGCGTCTATACGCGGCACGAATCAAGCACAGAATTTCTGCATAGGATTTCGTTTAACATATTGTGCATATAAGCGCATATCTTTCTGAAATTACTTCTTACTATGTAATTTTGCGACAAAAATCATATATCTCACAATTGAATACAAAAAAAAAAAAGAAAAAATAACAATGAATTAATCATTCATAAATCAATATATCTTTAAATCTCATTACAAAATATTGTAGAACAGAATAGAGAAAATTTACATTATAATTTAAACGTATTTTGTTTTGTAAACATCAGATTTAGCGCGTTATTCGTTAACGTGATTAAAATGCGTAAATTTAAATGGATTTGTATACCAATTTCGATTAAAATACTTTCG